ATATATATATATATATATATACATATATGGTCCTTTCGTGCGTGGGTGTTCTTCGCACAGGCACAGCTGTTGGTATTCCTTTTTATTTTTCACTTTCTCCAAGTGACAACTCAACGCTTCTTCCCTTCACCTCTTTGGCTTTTTTTTTGATTTTTGCTACTACCCCGCGCAACCTCAATTGATTACTCACGTTCTTGCGTTTTTTTTTTTTTCACGCCCCGGGTGAGGGTTAACGCAGCGATGCAAAGCGTCCGCCGGAGAGATTTGGCGGCTCAGTACCGCCCATCTTCTGAAAGGCGTTGCAATACTTGAGTTTACTATTATTGTTATTGCTGTGAGGTCCCCTGCGCCTCCCGCCAGAGTTGTTGCTGCTCTCGCCGCCACTGATAAACCGCCATCTGCGTCCAACGCGCTTTTGCTTGAAGCCACCCTCAGATTGGCCGCTGCCTCTTCTCTGCTGCGGTCGCTCCGTATCCTTGCTCTTCTCAGCTTCCTCATGGGCGATGCGTATGGAGTCAAAAAAGCACTGATCATCATCAGCCCAAGATGAGAGCACGGACTCCTGTTCTTGCAACGTTGAGTTCGTCTGAGACTCCACACAACCAAGCACCTTCCCAACATTCACCGGAACACCGTTTAGTTTCAAGCTCCGCGACTTGACGGCTTCGACGTAAGTCTCCCCACCGGCGGGTCGAACTATCGGCAAAGGGCCTGCACCCCCGATAGGGGCGGAATCCGTTGGGCACCCCAACGGTGGCGTCGCGTCGGTTGTGGCACACAGGTTGTATGCCACGACGCCGCCCAGCTCGGCGGAAAGAGTGGACGCGCCTCTGGCGACCACCTCAGCAAAACTCAGTGACTCTTGCATAACCAAACTGCACTGGTTCCCGTTAGCCAATTATATTGTCTTTGTCTTTTTTCTTTTATTTCGACTCGCGTACTGCGGAGATACAGCCTTGAGAAAAATGAACTTTTTTGGGCGCAGACACAAAACTCTGCTCGATGCCGGGCATCAAAGCATGGTGGTGCAAAGCGGCAAAGAAAAAAAAAAACAGGGCAATATCACCAAGCATTGAGCTACTTCGTGGCAGAAAGAAAAGACACAGCGGATGGCACGAAAAGGCGGCAACAAAGCGACGAAAAACAAAAAAAAACCACCAGAATCATCTGCAAGATAGCTAACACAAAACGAGAAAATCCGTTTCATGCTTCAGCTATGACGCACCTTCACCAAATCTGCCGTGATGAAGTCGTAAAATCCAACCCGCTCTGGGCTCAGAGCATCTTCGCCACCATCAGCAAGCACCCCACCATAACGAATAGAAAGACGATGAAGCAGCTGCGCTAGCGCCGGCTGTGCCAGCTCCATTTGCTCGCAAACTTTTGTCGCCCTATGAACTTGCAGCGTTCTAACAAAACCCAATTCCTCGTCTCGTGTCTGCGCCTCTCCTCTGTTGGAGCGCCCCCTATCTTCTTCCTCCTCCACAGCGGTGACAATACTTGCCGCAAGCAACTCCACAACCTCCACATCGCGACACAAACTAAGCGCTATGGCCGTTAATGCCTCCAACAAGTCATTCAGCGTGAGCCCCGCCATCAAGGAAGAAACACTAACCCTCTTCGTGTTTCCTTCGGAAACAGCACCTGATGCGTAGGCCAGCGCACGGCGACGGAATGACCTGAGGGGGCTACACAATGACTTCCGCCGCAAGGTTTTTGCCGTTACATTGAAACAAGGCTCATGGTGAAGCTTAAAACGGCCGAAGGCCACCAGTAAACGAACAAGGTCAGCTTCTGAATATCGAGCAAGCTTCGCTCTTGACATGAAGCGTCCACCGTTAACCGTTACCAGCCGTTGCAGCACATGTTCCTCTGCAATCCCAAGACTGGAGAGCGTCAAAAGCAGCCGTGAGACGACGCCTTCCTCAGCTTCACTCAACATACGTTTTTCATCACCAACTTCTTTCCTTGCTGAAAAAACGATGCGCCGTAATTCTGCAAGTAAGCGCAGAAGCAATTCACCATCCTCACAATTCATCTCATCGTAGAGTTGAAGAAATACTACAATTTCAGGCAGAGAAAATATCACAGGTAAAGTAGGGGATGAACCCTTCACTAGGTCAGCTTTGCCTTGCACTGCCTCTATGCGATGCTTTCCGAGTTGCTCCAAGTACTTCACTGCATCTGTCGTGGCCTCATCGGGAATAACCACCATACTGCTAGTGCGACAAGTTAATCCGCCCCCCTGCCTCGAGTCTTCCTGTGGGTTGTTCCGAATCTCGTCTGTTTCACTTCGATCCCCAATGTCGCCTTGATGCGTTGATAAAGGAAGCATATCCTTGACAACAGCGAACACTTCTGTTTGGGCCATAAACGACACGGCATCTTGCTCTTGTTTTAGAAAAGACTCCTTCATCTTATTTGGAGAGAGGTTGCGGGCAATGAAAGGGACGCCCCCGATGCAGTGAATTAACATCGTCTCATTCAAGTTTTTCCAACGATGGAGAAGCGTTTCTGCTTTTCGCAACAACATTTGTGACACACCAGTGACCGTTGGGTCCAACGCCGATGACGCCTCTTTTTGTACATCATGCTGTCTTGCCTTGGTTGCCATCATCACTTCTCCATTATCCTCGTTTACGGCTAAAAACATCGGTGAACAGTTTGAGGCAACATTCGCCCTCCCCGCGGCTGCTGCCGCCCTTTGCCCCCTCGGTCGTACCCAAGGGCATTGACGGGCGTAGCGTGGGACCCAGCGCACAACAGCACTACGGTGCAGCATTCACCACAACAGTCGTGATCTTAGTTGCGGAGTTGCCCGTCAGCCCCTCCACCTCGTTCCTCTGCACGGGGTCTCCTTCCTCAGTTCAGTATTGTTTTCATGCAGTTTGTGTGTGCGTGGGAAAGGGGGGGGGGGGGGGAAAAAAAAGACGAAAGAAAAACGCATTCCTAGCCCCCAATACAAACGGCAGCAGCACCACATCGACAGGGTAAAGTGGCATGATAGTCCCACTACGCCTTCTCCGTTCGGCAAGGTAAAGCAAGAGAAACAAGGAATGAGAAAAAAAAAAAACCTCCCCTGAAGATTCTGCGATTTCCCTTCACAAGAAGAGGAACAAAAAAAAAAAGTTGTGTGCAAATACAAATTGAAGCGCCATTGCCAGCGTCAATATTGGCAGAAAAATTACTCTTCAAACAAAATGGAGAAAAAGATACTCATTTTCACTCACTTGCTTTCATTATTAAATTGTCGCCTGTCCGAGGAGGACGGACACAAAAAGTACAACACACGCATCCCTACTTGTTAAAGAAAGTCATGGCGGCGAGCCACACCTTTTCCCTATCTGTCTCCAGCCCTCATCTCTCTTGTGAGTGCGTCGAAATTCTTCTATCCCCGGGTCCTCGCCATCTCATTCCCATGCGAAAGAAGCTCAACACGCAAACACGAGAGAGAAAAGGAGAAAGAGCGGGCGGTAAAAGATGTATCGATAAAGATATCGATAGAAGGAATGTAAAGAAAATGCCCAAACACCATCAACAACAACATCGACGACGACGACAACAACATCAACATCAACAACAACAAAAACTTTTCCATTTCTGACATAAAGAAAGCAGCGCTTCTATTTGACGCGTATGAGGTCTAATAAATCCGCACGCTTAATCATTGGTTTATCGGTCTGCATGGGGTTTATCGTTATTGCCGTGTCTCGCACGACTGGACGTGCACACGGTGGATAGCCCCAGCGACTTAACTGTCCCACTGGCGATGAAAACAAACAAACAAACAACACTAACTAACATCAATAAAGTGATCAAAAAACAAAACAAAAAATAAGAATAATAATTTCCCAACACATAGACGGACGGACTCGTGTCTTTTATTCCTTATATATATATATTATATATATATATATAATCTTCTTTTGCTTGCTTATCAGATCCATCACCTTTATTTTATTTTCCGTTTCTTCCTCTGCTCCTCTCTCTCACCATCCCTCACACACTTTTCGTCTTTGAGCGCCACAGACGCCCCCGGGCAGAATTATGATTTCACAATCCAGTAAAAAAAAAAAAAAAAAAAACAAATGCAATTAGCGTCAAAAGGGAAATACAGATGAGAAATGACTTTGTTTTCGTTTTGTTTCACTTTAAGGTAGTTATGGGTGCCAATACAGAAACCTCCTTTTGGCACCTTTTGTTAAGCGCAAACTGTTCATTTTCCTTTTATTTTCTGTGTGCGTATTATTTATGCTACTCCTATCCTTCTGCCGGTGAGGCCGACCACCCCACGGCCAACACGCTCCTGGCGCAAATAACAAATCAAAAACAGTTAAAAACATTAGAAAACCCCAGAGTAATGTGACAACTTTTTTTTTTTCACACACACACTCCCTCGCCCCTCCTCAGAGAGATCCTCTAGACAATGAGGAACGCCGTGCTGGAGCGCAACAGCCATCCGAGAGTGGGGCCCATCTCATTATACAATCTGAAGGCGTCCAAAGCCTCGTTGAAAGAAGTCAAAGTATTCGTGCCACTGGAAGAAACAGAAGACGCGACCCGCCATTTCATCCCTCGTTTTGGCATCTCCTTTTCTTGGAGACCAGAAAGAAAGTGATGAGCATCTTCCAAGGACATAATGAGGGGAGCCTGGCCTTCCCTTGTTCGCTTTTTTTTTGATTTCTGTGACCATTGTGAAAGTGTAACGTCGTCATTGTCATGGCGGCTGCATCGAACACGGAACTCCGGGATGGATGAAGAAGGACGTGTGAAGAGACCGACCACCTCCACTGTGGCACCGGTGAGATGCCAGAGTGCAAATGGCGGCAAAAGTGGTGAAGGTACGCGAATAAGTTCATTTTCACTTCTCGTTTGTGTAGAGTGTGTCCCGCTTTGATCGCTGCTTTTGGAATCTGAAACCTGTTTGGACGCCGTCGAGGGACGGGCTGGAGGGCCAATAACATGTTTGTCCATTGCGCGGCCAAGCACCATCACTCCCAATTCTCTGTCACGCACCAAAACCTGTTGTACAGGGAAACGGATCAATTTGTAATGTTCCTTTGCTTCAAGAAAAGCTCGAGGTGACACCAACTCCACCGGAATTGTGTCTGACATCTCAGCAGGTTTGTCCTGCTCCGTAGCAGCCGCTTTTGCCGCAGATGAATTGGACAGCTCGTGAATAGCGCATCTCTCAGCGGGGGAAATACGCTGAAAGGGGTGATTTTTCTCAATCTCCTCCTCAGTCTTCTCCAAATAGGCGCGAAAAAAGGCTTCCACAAGCTCACGAATAGAGAATATCTCAACACCTCTGAACACAGCCACAAAGTATGTGTCTGGAACTACGTATTTTCCCTTTTTGGAAATGTGACGTAGATTCGTATAGTGTGTCACCTCTGCCACAAGCGTAGGATCAAATATAAACGCCATATGGAACGGCAACTCATCGCATGGAGACAAAACGTCTGCATAGTTAGCCGGCATAAATCGATGTTCCTCACATAGAGTGATTTTGCACTTCGGCAAATCTCGTTTTACGTGAAAATTGGCCATTTTCATATGATCCCTTTGGTTTACATGACGATTTAAGCGAACTTCACGGCGAACCTCAAAGCGCGTACCGGCTGGAAACAGACCTTCAATGCTCTGAGCAATTTTCTGCAATCTTGGGGTTAAAGTACCCGTGCTGGGAGGCCCAGAGGCAGAGCGCGCAATTGGCCAAAGGAAAAAGTGAACATACAGGAACAGTCCCATTCCATCAGTATCCCTGCCTTTTTTATGCTTCTTCTTCTTCTTCTTCTTCTGGGACTCCATGTGAGCAGACGTTGCACCATCACCTTGCTCGCTGGAAAGCAGCGCATCGGGTTTTAATGAGATCTTGCTCTCAAGGTCGGACGCTTCCCCGGATGTCTGCATCTCCAATGAGACGTCATTGCTGTTACTGCATTGGCTACTCTTGCTTTCGACCGTAGTATCAAGAACTTCCGTTTCTGAACCTAACAAAGAGGTTCCTGCACCTTTGAAAGGCAGAGCTGTTTTATGTTTTCGTGTCATTGTTGTCTTCGCAAGCCGTCAGCATAAAGACACTGAAGGCGCACACACATACACGACTATATATATATATATATATATATATATATATATATATAA